GAAAACAATAATATTTAAGAATAACCCAACCTCAGACTTTCTCTCCTTCTAACCCTGTAATTCTCAATATGGTCACATAAAGGCCTACAGTTAAAAAGTCCTTCAGCCTGTCCATACTCTACTGTCATAGTTCTGTGTGTTCCCACTTTTGAAAGAATGGAGTCTCAGGCAGAAGAATCAATACTTATTTTTTATAATTTTTATTTTGCTATTAAAATTGTCCTATTTCCTGAGTAACTAAAATTATAAATCTCAAATCTTTTTTCAGAAGGATAAGGTTACAAAACATCTATTTAAAAGCAGTTGCAGTAATCAAACCAGCATGATATTGGTGAAAGAATAGGCAAATAGATCAATGGAACAGAATAGACAGCCCGAAAATAAACCCACACAAATATAGTCAACTGATCTTTGACAAAGGAACAAAAGCAATTCAATGGAGAAGGGATAGTCTTTCAACAAATGGTGCTGGGAAAACTGGACATCCACATGTTTAAAAAAAAAAAAATGAATCTAGATACAGCCCTTACACCCTTTGCACAAATTACCTCAAAATGGATCATAGATCTAAATGTAAAATACAAAACTACAAAACATCCAAAACAAAACACAAGGGAAAATCTAGGTCACCTTGAGTTTGGCAGAGATTTTAGATATAGGGCCAAAAGCAAAAGTTTGGTAAACTGATTTTATTAAAATTAAAAACTTATACTCTGCAAAAGACATTATTAAAATAATGAGAACACAAACTACAACTTGGAGAACCACAGCTTACAAGACACCTATCTAATAAAGAACTTGTATCTGAAATATACAGAGAATTCTTAAAACTTAACAAGAAAACAACCCAATTAAAAAGAAGGCAAAAGATCTCAACAGGCCAGGTATGGTGGCTCATGCCTATAATCCCAATACTTTGGGAGGCTCAAGTGGTGGGGATAGCTTGAGGCCAGGAGTTTGAGACCAGGCTAGGCAACATAGCAAGACTCCTGTAGAAAGAAAAAGAAAGGGAAGGGAAAGGAAGGGAAGGTATGAATAGATACCTCACCAAAAAAGATATACAGATGGCAAAGAACATATAAAAAGTGCCCAATATCATATGTCATTAGAGAATTGCAAATTAATACAATAGTAAGACACCAATACACATTTATTAGAATGGCTAAAAGCCAAAACATTAAAACCAAATGTTAGCAAGGATGTGCAGCAGTAGAAACTCTCACTTGTTGCTAGAAGGAATGCAAAATGCTACAGCCACTTTGGAAGACAGTGTAGCACTCTCTTATAAAACCAAACATACCCATACCATACAATCCAGCAATCACACTCCTAGGTATTTATCCAAATGAATTGAAAGTCCATACAAAAACATGCATGTGAATGTTTACAGAAACTTTATTCACAATTGCTTAAACTTGGAAGCAATCAAGATGTCCTTCCATAAGTGAATGGTTAAGTAAACCGTGGTAGGTCCATACAATGCAATATAATTCATTGATAAGAAATGAAGTATCCAGCCATGAAAAAGACATGGAGAAATCTTAAATGCACTTTGTTCAGTGAAAGAAGCTAGTGTGAAAAGGCTACATACAGTAGGATTCCAACCATATGACATTCTGGAAAATATAGACCTATACAGACAGTAAAAGCTTCACGGCTACCAGAGATTCAGGAGGTTGAGGATGACTATGTGGAGCCCAGGGATTTTTCAGAGCAATGATGCTATAATGTTTGATACTTAATGGATATGTGACATTAATCACTTGGCAAAACCCACAGAACTATATGATATAGAAGTAAATTTTACTGTAAACTATAGATTTAGTTAACAATGTATCAATGTTGGTTCATCAATTGTAAGTAAATTAACACACCAATGCAAGGTATTAATAATATACTGAAAATTGGGTGATGGAAGAGGGAATACAAGAGAACTCTATACTTTTTGTTGAATTTTTCTGTACACCTAAGACAGCTCAAAAATGGTCTATTAATTTTTAGAATCAAATAAATGACAAATTTCAAAACTGAAATTAAGGGGAGAGGGGCAAGATGGCTGACAGGCGCCAGCTTTGAACAGAAGCTCCCATCCAGAGGGAAGGATAATGTCCAGAAATACCCAATAAAGTTGAAGACTGGGAGCCCAGCCAAGAGAGAAGAGTGATATCTGTAGGACACCTCTGCTGAGGCAAGTTGAGACTCCAAGAAAGCAATTTACAGGTACATAATACATTCCAAAGGAACAGTATCCGTCCCCTCCCCCAAGAAAGTTGTGGTTTTCTCTTTGTTTTCTCTTCATCTGCTCCTGTAAGTTTTCTACAGGCGAGCAGTGAACTGAGGACCTATTATCTCACCCCACATGTGAAAACCACAGGAAGGGGGGTCTATTTCCCTAGAGGGATCCTGCTGAGATTCTAACCACTCTTTCGCCTGGCAGAAAAACTGAACAAACGTTTTCACTCCCATTTTGAATTTCCAGTCCACCCTTCCCCTCCTTGCCTACAGAGACAGTTGGGGGGGGGCACAAGAGCAGCGCCTACCCTACCCCTGCGAGACCAAGCATCCAGTCCCAGGACTGCAGCCAGAGACCTGCTAGACCCTTGTACATTCCATGGGCAGTGGTAGAGGAGTCCCCCATTCCAGGCACCTGCAGGAGGCCCCAGAACTACTTGCTAGGGCCACAAGCACCCTGCAAGCTGCAGTGGAGGAGTCCACTGCTCCAGGCAGGCCCATAACTGCCTGCTAGAGCCAAGCACATCCCGCAGGGGGCAGCAGAGGAGTCCCCACTCTGGGCAGGCCCAGAATTGCTTGCTAAAGCCACGTGTGCCCCACAGGCGGTGGTGGAAGAGTCCCCTGCTCCAGGCTCCCATGCTGGGGGTGCCCAGATCTGCTTGCTAATACCATGCATCCCATGGGCAGCAGAGTCCACCACTCCAGGCAGGCCCAGAGCTGCTTGCTAAAACCGCACATGCCCCGCGGGGTGCGGTGGAAGAATTACCTGCTCCAGGCACCTGTGCTAGGTGGGCCCAGAACTGCTTGCTAGAGCCACGCACACCCCACAGGTGGGACAGAGAAGTCCCCTGCTCCTGGCAGGCCCACAACTGCTTGATAGAGCTGCATGGGTCCCACAGGCAGTGGCAGAGGAGTTCCCTGCTTTAGGAACTCGCGCAGGGTAGGCCCAGAACTGCCGGAGCTGTATGCTCTCGGCATCCCCAGCCCACCTCCCGAGAACTATGAAAGTATAGTCAGTTGAGAGGGAACGATACTAGAATGGTGGTACCCTGAGGCAAAGAGCAGCAGCCACAGCAGGGGGAACAACAAGGCTCACACCCCTGAGGCTCTTCCGGACAGACATGCTCTGCCTCTCTGGACAACCAGAGGAAGCCAACATCTTCTCCAGTGGCAGCCACTGATTGAACAATTCTGGTATGGTCTCCACACAGTGTAAATTCAGCATGGGGTGGAATCAGTAGAAAAACTATGGTAATTTGAATAACTAGAGTAGATCAACTCCCCCAAGGAAGGATGGGGCAGATGCAATTAAAGATCTCATCCATAAACAGATGGCTGAGATGTCAGAAATCAAGTTCAGAATTTGCATACCAAATAAGATTAACAGAATGGAAGAATGGAGGGAATTGGAATTTCAAGAAATGATTCAAAAGATGTCTCAAGAATTCAATGATTTCAAAGATAAAATGACCAAATATTTTGAAACACTGAGGCAAGAGGTTGCAGCCCTCAAAGATCTGAAAAATATGGTAGAATCCCTCAGTAACAGAATGGAGCAGGCAGAAGAAAGGATCTCTGACAGTGAAGACAAAGCTTTTGAACGTGCCTAAGCATGCAAGGATGAAGAGAAATGGAGAGCAAAAACAGATCACTCTCTCAGAGAGCTCTGGGATAATTCAAAGAAAACTAATATTCATCTTATAGAAATCCCTGAAGGCAATGAAGTGGCTTCCCATAGCACAGAGGCTCTACTTCATGAAATTATGAAAGAGAACTTTCCAGACATGCCAAGAGATACTGAAATTCAGATTACAGACAGTTTCAGAATTCAGGCATGACTCAACCCGAACAAGACATCCCCCAGGTACATCATAATTAACTTCACTAAAGTTAATGTGAAAGAGAAAATTCTGAAAGCAGCTAGATATAAGAAAACTATAACCTACAAAGGGAAGAATATTAGAATGACTGCAGATCTCTCTGCTGAAACTTTTCAGGCTAGAAGAGGGTGGTCATCAACTTTTAACCTCCTAAAACAAAATAACTTTCAACCCAGGATCCTGTATCCAGCTAAACTGAGTTTCATCTATGATGGAGAAATT